GTGTAAATCTCAACTCAAATACTTTCCTCCCCATCCTTCCCCCTATCCGCCCCCAGGTTCTCCCCACTCTTGTGAAGCTCTTTGGCTCATCAGACCGAGCCATCCGGGTATCACTACTGCAGAATCTGGACTCGTTCGGAGCGCAGATAGCCCCCAACGTGGCGGAGGAGCAGGTGTTTCCGCACCTCGCCTCTGGCTTCACTGATGCCTCGGCGCTGCTCAGAGAGCTCACGCTCAAGTCCATGCTTCTGCTTGCGCCCAAGGTACGTATTCTTCTGCCCAAGGTGCTTTTTCTCTACGGCCAAGGTGTTGCTGGCTATCTCCTATGGGCAATTAGCCCCCAACGTGGCAGAGGAGCAGGTGTTTCCGCACCTCAGCTTTGGATTCACTGACGCCTCGGCGCTGCTCAGAGAGCTCACTCTCAAGTCCATGCTGCTTCTCGCACTCAAGGTACCTCTCTCTCGCGCCCAGAGAGGTACCTTTTGTTCCAGAATTTATTCTCTCCATTCTTCTCTCCCCCGTGCCCCTCCCTCCTTCATTTTACCCATCCACCAACTCTCTCAACCTGCTCTTGAAGGGCTTCTGCTCAAGCCCAACGTACCCTTCCCCTTTACTTGCTTCCCCCTCTCCATCTCCCCCCTCCCCACCGCGCCCACGCAGCTCTCCCAACGCACTCTCGGAGGGCCACTGCTCAAGCACCTCTCCAAGCTGCAGGTCTGTTCCGCCTATTTCAATTTCTGAAACTTCTTACAACTGTTCCTCCTGGCTTAGACCACTTTCCATTCTTTCCTCGGTCTGCCCTTGCTTCTTTTGCTCCCGTGTCCTCCTACCGCTTGCAAATAAATTAGTCTCTGTTGCAGATCTGTTTCGTATCGATCTGTCTGTCATCCTAATCTTGCTTCCATCCCGTCTCTTCCCTGCATCCTTTCCTCCCGTCTGACCTTGCCTCCCTCTCTCCCAACTGCTGGTGCTTCCCTTTCTCCCAACTGCCCTTCCTTCCATCCCTTCCTCCCACCCACCTGTCCTCATCCTTGCATCCACTCCTCCCGACCGCCCGTGTGACAGGTGGATGAGGAGGCAGCCATCCGCACCAACACCACCATTCTGCTCGGCAACATTGCCAGACACCTCAACGACGCTGTGAGTTGCACCCAGAACGTTTGGCCCATCAGTGACACTGTCTGTGCGTTGAGCTCGTTTTTTAGGCGCCTAAATCATCGCCTCAACGACACTCTGAGTCGGACTCAAAACGTTGCACCCCATTCAGGTCAGACTGGACTCTCTAAAGTGCGAACCCCCACTCTCTACAATTCCAAAGTGTGGCCCGTACACCCATGTGCCCATCCCCACTCCCTCCCTCCACTCCCTCCCTCCACTCCCTCCCTCCACTCCCTCCCTCCACTCCCTCCCTCCACTCCCTCCCTCCACTCCCTCCCTCCACTCCCTCCCTCCCTCCCCTCACGCACCTCATTTTCCACTTTCTCACCCCACCCCTGTGACGCCCACAGACGCGCAAGCGAGTGCTCATCAATGCCTTCACTGTCCGCGCTCTAAGGGACGCCTTCCCCCCTGCCAGAGCTGCAGGTACGACCTCCCCCTGCCAGAGCTGCAGATACAACCTCCCCCTGCCAGGGCTGCAGATACATCCTCCCCCTGCCAGGGCTGCAGATACATCCTCCCCCTGCCAGGGCTGCAGATACAACCTCCCCCTGCCAGGGCTGCAGATACAACCTCCCCCTGCCAGGGCTGCAGATACAACCCCCTCTTTCCATGGCTGCGGGTGCAACAGACATCATTAGCTAAAAACGCAGGAATCTGAATCTGCTGCAAATTACCGTTGTTGATGTTTTGCTTTCAACATACTGACTTATGGATATCCCAGTGCTCGCACTGCCCCCAAAATCTCAGATTCCCCCATGCCCCCACCCGCACATAATCCCTCTCCCCCCCCAATTTCACACCCCCCTGTGCAGGCATCATGGCGCTGTCAGCCACACGGGAGTACTACGATGCCACTGAGATCGCCACCTCACCTAACCCCACCGCATCCCCCTCACATCTTCCGCAACCCCTTCACATCTTCTGCAACCCCTTCACATCCTCTGTGCAGGCATAATGGCACTGTCAGCCACACGGGAGTACTACGATGCCACAGAGATCGCCACCCGCATTCTGCCTGCTCTGGTGGTGCTCACTGTAGATGCCGACACGTGAGTCCACTTTATGAGTTGTGAGGCGCCTCAAAGTGTGCTTTATGAGTCGACTTATAAGTCATTCTGCCTGCCCTGGTGGTGCTCACAGTAGATGCCGACACGTGAGTCCACTTTCCTGCGAATGATGTGCACGTAGGCTTTCCACCCCTTAACTTTCTCCATCATTTCACCCCACCACCACCCCCGCCCCCACCTCTCACCCCCTTGCCAGTGATGTGCACACCAAGGCAGTCCAGGCCGCCTTCTCATTCCTTCTGAGCCGCCTCCCAAGTCATCATTTCACCCCACCACCCCCGCTCCCACCCCACCTTCTCATTTCTTCTGAGGCGCCTCACCCCTTTACGTGTCCATCATTTCACCGCAAACCCCCCCCCACCCCCCCCCCCCCCCCCCCCCCCCCACCTCTGACCCCCTTGCCAGTGACGTGCACACCAGGGCAGTCCAGGCCGCCTTCTCATTCCTCCAGTCCGTCTCTGATTTCCACGCTAAGGTGATTACTCCACGGCAAACCCACCCTTCTCCGTCACACACACCCTCCTCCTCTCCTATTGTATTCGCATGCGCTGTCAACCAAGTGTGAACCTTCAAGCCTCTCATTTCCCCTTCTTTGTCGCTCTGCGTTTCCCCCTTTCAACTATTTGTGGTTTCCATGTTCTTACTCCGAAGAATTTGATGCTCATGCACTCGTCACCATCCTTCCTCCCTTCCACTCCCCTCCTCCTTCATCCTGTTCCCACTGCTCCCTCTTCTGTCTGATACCGCTGCTTCTAACCTCTACTTTCCAGTGGCAGCTGGAAGGGCACACAGCTGGACATCAAGCCCAGAGGCCAGCAGCTGCTGCTGCTCCTGCTGCTCCCATCTCTCACTTCCTACCCTCTTCCCACTTTTCCCCTCCGCTTCGACTGCTCTCTCCATTCCAATGGCAGCTGGAAGGGCACTCGGTTAGACATCAAGCCCAGGGAGCAGCAGCCGCAGCCCCTGCTGCTGCTCCTGCTGCTGCCGGCTCGTCTGGGGGGCTGTTGGGGTGAGTTCACAATTCTGCTGCATGTGTTGAAATTGAGATGTCTTTTGGCGGGCTGTTCAAGTACGTATGTTTCTCTCCCTTTCACTCCCATCTCCTCTCATCTTCTCTCATGCTTCTGCTCCTCATATCTTCCCTCCCTCCCGCGCCCCCTCCATCCTCCCCAAATCAGCTGGGATGTCAGCTCACTCACCTCAGCGGGCTGTCAGCATTCGTGTTCATCTCCATTCCCAAGGCGGGCCAGGAACAGTAGTGTTCCCAAGGCTGGCCACTCCCACCATTCGTGTGCATGTCTTATCATCCCTCTAAACCCCTCCGTTCTCCCTCCCATCCCCCCGCCTACTCAACTCCAGGTGGGCGGTCAGCTCGCTCACCTCAGCAGGGCCCAAGGCAGGCCCCACTGCACCAGCTGCCAGGGCTGCTGCTGCTGTCTCAGCAGGAGATTCCGCCACTGTCACGTCTGCTGCTGCCGCTGGTGCGTTGCCTTTCTCAAGCTTGCAGCATGCCTCTTGCCAGCTTATCACTTGTTTCTTTCGCCTTCTCTTCATCCTCTTTTCTTGTGAACAAACCGTTCCCTCCTCCCTGTTTTTCACCTCACCTCACCTCACCACCCCACACACCACAGCAGCATCAGAGCCTGAGGGCAACGGGTGGGGAGAAATCGAGGAAGAGGAGGAGGAGGAAGAGCAGCCGAAACCAAAGCCCTCAGTTCACCGACCAGCCCCTGCCAGACCCACCGCCCCCTCCTCTCACACCTTCTCCAAGCCTGCCCCAGCCGCACCTTCCCCAGCTGAACCCGAAGCAGAGGAGGACGAGGAGGAGGATGGGGACGGGTGGGGCGATCTGGATGATGGGGAGGAGAGTTCTGCGTCTAAGGGTGCTGCTGCTGCTTCTGCCGCCGCTGCTGCTGCTGCAGCCTCTCTCTCTCGCATGCAAGCAGCCCAGCAACGACCGGTGGTGCATCACACTCCTGCTGCTGCTCCTGCTGCTACCCCTGCAGCAGCAACAGCTCCCACTGCGTCGCCTCAAAAAGCAGCACCAGTGCGGCCGGCAGCGGTGAGATTAGGTGGAGGAGCAGCGGCAGGCAAGGCCGGCGGGTCCCTAGGTGTGACAAGAGGGAAACCGGCACCAGCAGCAGCCTCGTCTGCTGCCTCACACTCAACCAGTAAGGATGAGGATCCCTGGGCCGCCATCGCTGCTCCTGCTCCTGTCAGCTCTGCCAAGCCTCTCCGCGCCGGAGCTGGCGCGTCTGGCTCGGCAGTTAGCAGAGGTTCGGCAGCAAGCCGAGGCGGAGCTGGTGGTACGGCAAGTGGGCATGTGAAGCTGCCAGCAGGGGCGAATATGGATCTAGAGAGTATGCTTGGGGATGACAGCGGGGGGAAGAAGCCCACTGGCATGAGGCTAGGAGCACAGAGAATCAGCCGATAGTCCATGCAGTTCTTTCATGGAGGTCTAGAAACAGAGACCCGGATTTTCAGCATGTGGAACAGAGGACAATCGCGAGCTGTAAGCTTGATGCGTCATCTGGAGTTGTTGCACCAGTACATTATAAGCGTATAACTGGTCCCTTTGACAAATAGAGCCCTGCATTGTGATGTGCAGATTGTTCTAGTACGGCCATGTGCGTCCGGGGACATGATGTGGCGCTGCTGGCTGTGTATGTGGGTATGGTGCAGTGAGGGCATGTTCATGCGGGTGTTCAAATGTGTTTGATAACATAACATCCTATGGGTAAAGTATAGTGAGGAATTTGTTGAGAAGGGGGCCTACGTGAGGGGTTGAAATGATGAGTTCCGGTACCTACAGTTCAAGTGACAGCACAAATGCAACATGGGCTGCAACATGAGTTTCAGTGAACTGTGAGAACAACTTAGTAAGGGATTAACTTTTGCACAGTCTTGATGAGTATGTGCACAGTGGTATATTTTAATAAATATTTGCACAGTCTTGATGAGTATGTGCACAGTGGTATATTTTAATAAATACTTGTAGATTAATGCGGGTACATAAACAGCCAAACGCTGTTACCAAAACTACCAAGATACTAAGTTCGGGCAACAACGCAAGACGCTGGTTTTGCTCGGGTACTACAATAAAGCACAAGAAAACCACTCCTCCAGCCCGCCATGGCCAGCGATTACGAGCCACGCTGTCCCAAAGTCGGCTACTACAGCAGAATAGCGCCCGCTTCGTATCTGCGTCAGAAGCCATCGCGACACAGGGCTTTCTCGTTCCTCAAGCGAAAAACGCGGCGACCTTGATGCGCCCCGCGACTGCGAGCAGTTCCGGGAAGCTCAGCGGAATAAGCGGCGGCTTGAAGCCTTTAGGATACCGTTGATCACGGAGAAAAGACTTGAGGTAGTCAATCGGAACCGCGTAAAAGCGCAGCCTTCCGCCGAACACTCCTGCCAGCGCCGCTGCTTCCCCGAACGCCACGGCTTCGAAATTCGTGTCGTAATTGAGCTGGGGATTGTTCTTATGGGACGCGTAGAAGCGGTGCTTGCGGAAGCGGCCGATCTCGCGAAGAGTGATGTATTTTTTCGTGGAGGAGAACTTGAGCATTTGGTTGAAGAGCGTAACGTTAACTTCGTAGTTGTTACCGAGATACGCGTCGTCGCGGACCAGCGACACGTCGTGCTCGATCTTATTGTGCGCGCGGAGCTGCACGAGATCGATCGTCCCCGCCTTTTTATCCCCCACGCCTTTCGACATGGCGCCGTTGATCAGCGCGTTCGTCACCGTGGGCGAGAAGGAGTAGAACTTGCGGAAGGCGTTGACGATGCGCTTGCGCTTGACGGCGGAGCCGTCGCGCGGAAAGACGCCGTGATTCGCCATGGTGTTGAAGGCCGGGCACGGGCCGCGGTTGTCCGTGGCGCCCGGCGCGATATAAGGGCCGAGCTTCAGCGCGGCGGCGGCTGATGGGACGAGCAGAGCGAATGCTGCTATGAGGGTCGCGAGGGCGAGAGAGCAGGTGAGAACGAGACGTTCTTGCCTGGAAGGGCGGCTCCTGTGAGAGAAACGGAGAATTTTGGGAGACATGGCGCTAAAGAGCACGTTCGATTTTTGAACGTGTACTTATTCTGCTTGACTATTCTCAGTAATCCGGGTTATCCGGTAATAGGACTCCACTGCCTTGCTTGATGGCTGGTAATCCGCTGGTCTAAGTTAGAAATGCAGGCAGCTGGCGTGCAAGAAAGGGAAATGAAGCAATGTTTTATTCACCTAGGTGAATAATGGCGCTGTTCTGTAGGCGTTAAAATTCCAAAAACTGGGTCCGCAGAATCTTCGTTGATAAGTGGTCTTCTGCCTATCAAGGTTTGGTGATAAGAAAGGTCCTGCCGAACCTGTTTGCGCCAAATTTAACGCATCAGCCTGCAGAACGCCACTTTTGGGGCGCACGAATTTAACCGTCTGCAGGTTCGAAGTTGTTGCTTCGCCGGGCAAATGGCCGCACAACTAGTGCGGTGCTAATTCTACCTCGGGAGCTAGCATCAGCCTCCACACATGTTATGCGAGGCAGCAACATCCGCGCAACGCAACCAGCATGAATGCGCTTAGAAAATGCACGGAAGGCTACCGCGGTCAAATTGGTGCGGAACCCTAAACGCCTGCAGAACAACGCCAATGGGAGTGGAGCAAATGGGACGGGTGCTGTTTCGAGATGAGGAGGGTGTTATGACCGCGCCTGGGGATAACGGGGGAAGGAGGAAGGGCGCAAATTTGAGAAGCAGTATAACGAGGAATGAGGGGAGGCCAGGATGAAACGAGGTTTGAGGCGGCTTACAGAGGTTGAAACTAGTTAGGTTCGGTTGGAGTGCAAGTGCTCTACGCCGAGCTGTGGGTGCGGCGAAGTGCGGGTTGGGGGGTTTGGGGTAAACAGACCGCACGGCAGCTGGACGCGGAACGTGAGAGGGGGGGAAGAGCCACGGACGGAGAAGGATTTTCTGCTGCAATCAATGCCCTGGAGCGCAGCACACCATCATCTCATCATCACATCACCTCTTTCTGCCGCCCCTGGCGTCCGAACTGAACCGTGTTGATTTTCCCGTGTTCACCCGCTTTCGTTTTCGGCGCATGGAGCCGACACGACGACCAAATCACACTCCGACCACGCGCAGGAAACCCGTCGACTCGGATTGCGTCGCGAGACGTGTCAGGCTGACGGCTCGGCTCTTGGACACGTGTTTGGATCTTCAGTACGCATCGTTCTCTCCGAGCCTGGTTCCGAGCCAAACCAGTTTCATAACGGGCTCGGCCTGGGAATCTTCAGTGAACGTTTGACTGTCTCGAAGCTTCGTTTCACAACAGAACCAACTCTTTCCGCCCACGACGACAAACCGTCGGCGTCCACCGAAAAGCTACGAGAAGTGTACACTGTTGCATACTGTCGGTGTACACTCTTAAACGATGCGGCATTGACTGATCCGGTACTAGTGCGCACAGTTTGTCGAAACCTTACACAATGGAGCGAACAAATGATATCACCTTTACACAATTGCACGGAATGGAACAATGAACTGTGGCGTGGCATACCCAGCCAACTCATCACGCTTGCATAGGGGCTTATCTGGCACACGTATGGACACGTCATCCATGACAAGATTCCTTCACAACACACCGAGGGTTTGCCTCCCTCCTGCAGAAATGTCTGGTCCGTTCAATTCTCACAAGCTTGGGAACGCGGCGCCGATAAATGTGGAGCTCACCCCGCACATCTAGAACACACGCAATTGTTCAGGAGCGAAAGACGGCCGTCGATTAGACGATCAGAAATCACTCCAGGCTTCTCACAAGTGGCTCCTCGTGTGGGTTTGCTACGAAACTTGGAATGCGGGTCGGAGGAGAACACATCAGTGGATGAGTTACAGCCGTCGAATTCTTGTACATCGTATCGAACGGCTGATCTACAGCACAGTGCCGATCTTTTTCATATGCACTGCCCGCTCACTCCTTTCCCAAAGTGCATACAGTCTGAAAAGCGTTTTCTGGTCAGGTGTCAGTCGAGTGGTTGGTAGAGGCTGGGCCAGCGGACACGGAGGCAGGGTCCCAGGTGACGTTGGCAACGGCCCACAGCTGAGTCATCGCATCACCAGCATCTCCCATCTGTGTGTCGCATCTCTCATCTGACCCACCCATTTGAACGGCAAAACGGAACCAGAGAAACCCGCCTGCGAGGGTTGGAGAGGAGAGCCCGAGGGAGTTACTGTATCGTGGTGAGTTGATCCAAACCAACTGCAAGAGTCCGTTAGAATCGCTCTGGTCACTCTAGTTTCATCAAACCACGTTAGAGTTAATTAATCGCATTGTTGTCTGATCGCGCTTCCTCGTGTTGAATTGGTTTTCTTAGTAGCAAATTACATCGTGTCGACCGTGGTAGATAACCGAGTTCGCAATTGAGGGTGATTAGCTTTTCTTCATGTTGATCGTAACTCGTTTCTGATAACCTGTTGTCACATTAAGTCTTTCGTAGAATAGCCCTCTAGTTTCGTGAATCTGTTTGCTGAAATGGAAAGAGTTTTCTCAGTAGACGATATATTGGGAACATTCTGGAAGGTAGAGTCGTCAGGCGATGTCGCCGCTGCTGCAGCCGCCGCCGCAGCCGCTGCTGCCGCCTCTGGCGGGCTTCTCCCTCCAGGGGCGTCCGCCTTCCCCGGCGGATATTCCGGCGGAATGTCCGGCGGTTTGGGTAGCAGCGAGCTACAGCGTCCTATCCCACGCACGGGCTCTTTCCATCGTATGAACAGAATATCCTCGGAATGGGCGTTTCAGGAGTTTATAAAGGAGCAGACTGCAGCGGGGACAGTGACAGGGTTCAGCGGAATCAGCCCTCTAATGGCCGGCCTTAGCCACGTACCGAGCCTAGATAAGCTCTTAGGGGAGAGCCCGTCTCGGCTTAACCTAAGTATGTTTGGCCGGCCGGGGGCAGAAGCTGACGCGGGGATCTCCGCTTCCGCCGCCGCCGCTGCCGCCGCCGCAGGAGGCGCTGCGGCCGACGGGCTCGGCGCAATGGGGGGCAGCAGGCATAGTCGCTTAGACCTGGCGGGGGGCGATCCGCGGCTGGGGTTATCCGCGCCGAGGCGGGCAGCGGGGGAAGAAGCGGAGGCGGGGCGAGGCGGGGCAAATGCCGGGACGGCGGGGGATGGCGGAAGTTTCGGCGGGCTCGGAGTGTTCCGCTCCCCGTCTAGCAAGGGATTGGCGTCAGGCGCGTTAGGCGCGGCAGCGGATGCGGCAGCGGCAACGGCAGCAGCAGCGGCAACGGCAGCGGCAGCGGCAGCAGAGCAGGTATGAATGACCTGGAAAGAGCGCCTGTCCATATCTTCGGGGTTTAGATGTCGCAGATCCGGTTACTCACACCCTCTTTGCCCCGTTTCGTCCCTGCCACTGATCTTCTCCGTTAACCCCTGTGGCCCCTCGCTCCGACCTTTTTCCAGCACCCTCCCCCCCCCCCTCGCTCCGACCCTTTTTTCCCCAACCCCCCCTTCATTTCTCCTTCCGCTCCTGTTCAATTCGCTTTGAGACCAAAACCATTCCCCCCTCCGCCCTCCCCCTTACTCCTCCCCTTCCATCGTACCCGTTCCCCCCTTCACCCCCCGCCCTCCCGCCCGCTGCTCCTCAGGCCCCGACCGCAGACGCAGCAGCTGCCATGACCGGCGCCTCCGCCGCAAGTGCCGCAGCCGCAGCCGTAGCCAATGGCGTGGCGACAAATGGCACTCCAGCATCCACGAACGGCGCACCTCTCTCTCCGCCTCCCCCGCCGTCCGTGGTCCACCCGACCCCCGAGGAAATGGGCCGCCTGTGCGCGCCGCCTGGCGCGGCGGAAGCCGCCAGCCCGACCTCTGGCAGGGTAGAAAAGGGGGGAGCCGGCGGAAAGGGTGGGGGAAAGAGGGGTCTGGGGGGAGCATCGAGCGGGCGGGGGGGTGGGGGAGGGGGAACGAGGGCGGGCCCGCATGGGGGAGGGGGAAGGGAGATTGGGGTTGGGTCGGATGAGAATCATTCTGATGATGGGGGGAGGTCGGAAGGGGAGGATGAGCTGGTAGCGTCGTTGGAGCAACTGACTGATCCTGAAGAGATCAAACGAGTCAAGAGGTGAGAAGATGTGACTTTTGAGTCGTCTCACAGGTCAACATGAGCTGGGGGCATCTCTGGAGCACCTCACTGATCCTGAGGAGATCAAACGAGTCAAGCGGTAAGGATATTGTCTAGGTTGAGTTGACCCAAGAGCAATATCTGAAGGTTTGAAGAGATGAGAACGATACGATTCACAAGTTTGTGGCAGAATACACAAGTTGCTTGTATACACCAGTCCATGCAAAGTGTTTACTAGCTCGTTATGCCGCCTCTACTTCATGCCACGTCATCGTTCCCCTCCGGCCCCGCCTCTGTCCACGTGGCAGGATGCTGTCCAATCGCGAGTCGGCGCGGCGGTCGCGGCGGCGAAAGCAGGCGCACATGGGGGAGATGGAGACGCAGGTGACTCAGCTGCAGATCGAAAACGCCAACCTGGCCAGCCGCCTCGGGGAGATCGGGCGCAAATACAGCGACGCTGCCGTCGACAACCGCGTGTTAAAATCCGACGTGGAGGCGCTACGAGCTAAGGTGAAAATGGCTGAGGAGATGTTAGGCCGGGTGAATCACATGGCGCAGTATATGTATCACCATCACCACCAGCCTATGGCTTATCGGCATGATCCAGCTGCTGCCGCTGCTGCGGCTGCTGCTGCTGCGGCGGCGGCTGGTTCAATGCCATACGGCCCGTCTGCTGCTGAGATTGCTTACTATCAGCACCATGCTCATAACTCCTCGGCTGCAGCAGCGGCAGCAGCTGCGGCGGCGGCGGCTGCGGCGGCGGCAAGCACTGGTGCCACTGCAGCTGCTGCTGCTGCTGAAGCCGCCGGTTCTGCTCCTGCTACTGGTGCTGGGACTGCAGCAGCAGCAGCCGCTGCTGCTGCTGCTGCCGCAGCAGGAGGAGCCTCAGGAACAGCGCACTCTCATGCGTCATTCCAGTCTCTCCAGTCGTATGCCTCCCATCACCATGCAGC